GAACTAATCCATGCCTCTTTATGCACCGGTTCCATTTGGGCTGCTGTGGAATTGGTGGCTTATAAGCAAAGAGGTTTACGTCTCGCTGCTCTGGACCAAGGTACTGGCATATACAGGGTCTGGTGAGGGTGGGCTTCTTCTTCTCAGGAGTGCGAGCGTGTCTCCCCGGGCTTCTTCCGCAGGAGCATTAATTCCATCCACATAGGTTCTCATGACCCATTCTCCCCAAAGCCGTACCTCCTAATAGCCTCACCCTAATGGTTAAGATTTTAAGACTTGAATTTTGGGAAGGATATAAATTTTCAGACCACAGCACACATGCTTGTGTCCACCACTGCACTCCATTGCAGAAAATCTATTCATCAGGAGAGGGGAACATGCGTAGGTTACACAGCAGACAGAAGAGTTACCACTAAAGGTATTATCCTAGCCTAGGAGAATCAGAGAGTAGAGTCAGGCTCCATAAAGAAGCCAGTGTGAAGATGGGCTTGACTGGCTGAAAACCCTGTCCTACAGATTGTTCTAAAAACTCCATAAGAAAACTCAATATGTAAGTCACTGTACTCTTTTCAAAATGACAGGTAAAGCTTCAGGAAGGCAGAACAGCAATAGAAGTCTCTCTTGAAGTCTTGTCATAAATGTGCTGCTGAAGAGCACATTGTTAGGTGGTTAAGTCTGGACCAAGCAAAGCAATGGCTTGAACTCCTCCAGCAGGCCATCAGCTCTTAAGGACCAGGGACCAGACCACATGCACATTTCAGTTTCTGGGGCATGTGGCCAAATATCCAGCATGCATCAATCAGATGAGCAACTCATTGAGACAATCTGTTGTGGATGGAGCCCCAGTCCAGGAGCATTACCATGGCGTGTGTGTCTGCTGTTCCACATGGCTTTGCCACTTTTAGTGTCTACTGGTTCTAATGGCAGATTATAGTCACTTATAAAATGAAGGGCTAGGTGGGCCTTAGGAGATAAATAATAATACATATTGCAACAGTGTATGTGGTAATACTATACACATTTTAAATAAATATTGGAGGAAAAAAGTTGTATAACACAGAATATCACTAATCAAAAATGCACTTAAAGGGGCTGGGAAGATGGCTC